AGACACTCCGAACCTTCGAGTCACAACGCTCGGCTCTTGAGACACTGCTGGAACTGGCACGGTCATACGTCCCAGCTGGACTTCATCCAGTGTCTGACAATAAATGTCAGCATCGAAATCTGAGGAAGTTTCAGAATGACGGCGAAGTTGTCGAGCCCAGGATTTACGACCCTTCTCCTTCAATTCAGAGATGGACAAGGAACTTGAGCGTACCAATGACGGCGGGGCCTCCACGTCAGCTGGGATGTGACCCACCAAAGGGAAACCATGCTGAAGATGCCTGATTAATTCGGAATCCGGCCAGCGAATCTGGTTCAAACACCACTCTAGCAGACCTAAGTTGGGACCAGTCCGGCCAGCTGCTCGCAATACTTGACGGGAATGGGGGGCAGCGGCCTCCAGTAGTTCAGCAGATCGTTTGGCTAGCCTGCGAGACTGTTCGCGAAGCATGTCCATCTGCTGTGCCCTGAAAGCCACCAAACCTTCACCTCCAAGAAGGCAAGCACGTCTTGCACACCTGGTCAACCTCCCTGGGCCTGTGGGTGAAGCAACTAATCGAGGAAAGGCTTCCTGCGCAGCAGCCACATGGGCAAGTTGGGCGGTCTTCAACGCCGCTTCAGAGGATGATGCGGGAATGGGAACATCCAAGACCACATCACGTTTGCAGCACACAGATGAAGAAGCAGCTGAGGCGCTGTCCGAATCAGATGTAGACCCACAGCTTGTTTCCAGCGATGCATTCAGCGCCCTGTTGTTGAGCCCGTCAGCCCGAGCGCCGGAGACTGACGGGCAAGGCCCCCCATCTGCTGGGGAGTGAGTGCCTGTTGAATTTCCTCCATCGAAGCCAGTATGGGAAAACCTTGCTCGAATACCAAGCTTTTGTTTGCCATGACAAACGAACACCAGCTAGACAATACATGTTGGACCACTGGAACTGCGAACGTGTTGCCCGTGACACGCATGTGCTCCAAACAAAAGGTCAGCCCCAAATCATCTGGAAGAGCTGAAGCACCGGTTGGAAATCCTAAGGCCCTGTCACGCTCAGCTCTTGACAGCGGTCGCAGGAGATTAGAACCCTGCTCTGTGTGAATGCATTTGGCCAACTTGCCTCTGGCCACATTGGCATCCGAGCCTTTGCGCCTAAGAGATCTACGACTGCAACTGACATCGACACCTTCAGTTACCTTGGCTGTCAACAGTTGGCGCTGGCTCTCCGATAGATCCGCCTTGTAGACCAAACCTCTACGGGAGTAGCTGCGCAACGACAAACGCGGAAAGGACTTGTGCTCGGTGAGCAGCCCGCGCGGATACCCCCGATCAAACCCTCGGCAAAAGGTTGAAAACCTCATGTCCGACGCGGGCGTACCGGAGGGGAACTCCCACAAAGGACGCCATCCCGGTTCCAACACTGCAGCCGCGTCGATCGCCACTGCTGTCAAGGGTTCCACCCGGAGATTGGTCCAGAAACAGCGCTCACGCTCAGCAGGCAGTAGCGAAGAAGCTTTGAGGCAATGAGGTTCCACACCCAAGCACTGCGAGATCGCTGCTCGCTGCGCTTTCTCCGCAGGGCTGAAATCCATTGGAACGTTCTCAAGCATGAACAGGACGTGGACATCAGGAAGAGCAGATTTCAAGCGGGAGAGCAAGAATGGGAAGACAACCAACTTGCTAGACTCTGGATCGCGAATGCCCTGCCTGTTCTCTTTGGCCATCGAGAAACCTACGCAAGGTGACCCTCCAGCAACTAAGATAGACTTCAATGACCTGAAGCGCTTGAGGAACTGAATGAGCAGACCCACGTTCTCGCAAATGGCAAAAGCTGAACCCACTGCGCCCTTTGAGTTGGGCATCTGAGATAACCAAACTCCAGAGCGGGAATGATGGTGCTTCAGAAGCTGTCGACATCGGGCATCAACTTCAAACAGCAGAACCTGCACCTTAGTCCCGAGCACCGGTCCCAGTCCAGAGTCCAACAAAGCTTGCAAAAGACCTCCCATGCCGGAGGAGAGGTCAAGCACCACATGTTCCACTGATTCAAAGGAAGCAGCCGTGGGCAAACCCTCCTCCGTTACCGGGACATGATATGAGGCATCCTCCCTGGGCTCTGCCCGGCTAACAAGCCCAGGAGGTTCGATTTGTCAAGACCGGTCGGCCCCCTTGGGGCGTCGCGCCTTGAAGGACTTCAACGCCGCCGCATAACGCTCAGCCGACCGGGCATCCGTAGTGTCCAAATGCACCATCTTGCATGTGGACCGATCCGGACACGTCAATCCCTGAGCCGGATCATGTTTGAAACATATAGGAGTACGGCCAGATTGGGAGGCAGCAGCATCCTTGGCATCGCCCGTCTTGCCCTTGTCCACGCGAGGTCTCCGAGGTTCGGGGACGTTGGGAAGCTTCTCTGAATCATCAACCCTGCGGGCGCGGTAGTGTTTGATGTCCAACTTGTGGGTAACCCGCCGCAGAGGCCGATACAACAGATCACCGAAGCTGAACTTCTCCGACCCCCGGGTAAGCGACTGAAGCTCATAGTGGAGGTCGCGCTCATAGCGAATGGCATAGGCCAAACCATGCTCGGCGGTCATCCGGATTAACACCAGCAGGTGGGCGAACACATCGGGGAAGTGGACTACACCAACGACAGCATGAGCCAACCAGAAGTTGGACACCAGACTCAGGACCCTCGGAGTGTCAAGGCTCTCGGTCCGCCGCCACTGCTTGACCAGAGCATCACGAGCGGCTGGTGATTCTCCATGTCCCACCCACAAAGGAACCCAAGACTCCAAGGCCGAATCATCAATGAATGGGTGGTCCTGATTCTTGCGAGCCTCACGGGCCTTAAGCAACAGTTTCTGTAACTTGGCAAGGAGTTGAGTGGAAGGAAACCCATCAGTCGGTAAGAAGCTGTGCGATGCTTTGGATAGAGCAGAAGCCAAGTCAAACTTCTCCACATCTTCGTCGTCGGATTCATGATCTCGCAAGATGGAACTCCTAGATGCCCTGGAAGGACCTTTAGCAAAACGCTCTAATGCTGCAGCTAATTGGGAATTTACACGCAGTTGCTCAGCAGCGAAGTCGGTCGGTCGAACAGCAGATGCCCCTTGGCTTGCTGAAATTTGACCCTGATGAGATTGCCACGCGAGAGCCATGAGGCGACGTGCCAAGGTTGAGTGCAAGATATCCACACTGATGTCTTGGTGATGACCATGTGCTTGAGCGAAGACTTGGGTGAGCTCCTCTGGGGTGAAACCCAACAGACGACCAGGCGAGTTGACACCCAGAGACACCAATCGCTCTACCACCTTAGTGAGCTGTGGACAAGAGGCTTGGTGAATGTCATGCGCTGCGGCCCAAAGCATCAGGTTCTCCTTCGCACGGTCCTCGGAGTAGAGGAAGTTTCCCGGCAGCTCGAAAAACCACGCGCTCACATTCTGGTTGGTCGGTTCAGGATGGACTGGCGCACGGGGTAATTCCAGTCGCGCAGGAGATGGATTGGGCAATCTCGGAACCGGAGGCGGCGACAAACTTTGTGCACGATGACGTCTTGGTGAAGGAGAGGCTCGCCGCCGCTTAGGACTGCGGGAATCCCCCCGACTGTTGGATCGACGACGGCGTCGAGGAGCTGGAGATGGCAGACCCGAGAGCGCACCGCCATGTAAGCCGCTGCGGCTACGGGGCATCAGGAAGAAAGATCAAAACTTGGCTTGATGATACGGCCTTGATTCGAAACCCTGAGGAATGATAACATGCGAGCATGATGTCCTCAGAAAAGTTTTATCAACAAACAGCTGGTTATGTCGGCAACAAATTGATGGAAATGATCAAACATGATGAAAGATGATGAAAGCGCCAAAAAAACAATGAAACATGATGAACAAATGGAAACAATGCCCCTGATGAAATATGATGTCACATGATGCAATTTGAGAGATGATGAATACTGAGAAAATTATGATGGAAATTTGAGCGCTTGTTTACAAGACATGGTGAATCATGATGGCATATGATGAAAACATCAAGTTATGATAATAATAGAGTTGCAACAACCATGCTTCTAAAAACAAAGCGTACTTATACACTGCCAGCAATGGGAACACAATGCGAGCAACCTTCTGTGCTTCGCTCTTGCTTTCGTGTCCTTCTTTCTGTCGTTGTGTCTTCCTTTCTTTCTTTCTGATGTGTCTTCCTTTCTTTCTTGCTTTCTTGTCTTCATTTCTGCTTTCCTATCGTTCATTCCTTCTTTACGGTATGAGTACTATTATTGCTACTTTTTGTTGATTGCTTTCTTTCTCTCAGTCTGTCTGTCTGTCTGTCTTTCTTGCCTGCGTTCGTTCTCTCTTTGTGTCTATGTCTCTGGTTCTTTTCTTTCTTTCTTCTTATGTCTCCTTCTTTCCTTCTTGCAAAATCTTGTTCTTTCTTGTTTTCTCAGTTTCTGTATGCCTTTCTTGCTAGCTCTTCCAGGGTTCCTTCATGCCCTGCATCTACGGAACCAAGGCCCATCGCCCCAGAAAACAAAGTGCCACCAAAAAAAAAGACAAACAAAAACATGTCCCGTTCATGGGTAAGTGCTTACCAAGGATTGCAAACCTCATTTGACCATGAATTGGTGGAATCTTACTCAAGCGTGAGCCCTCCGATTTCAGATTGGTGTTTCACCGAGGACAGAGTGAGTGCCTTCCAGGATCTATATTACTGTTATTTGTCTCTAAGTACGACTTATTGAGAACTGGCAAGCCTCCATGAATTCGTGACGTGCTCCTTGAACTTCAGGGTGTGCAGTTGGTAAAACGGTGAAATTGAATGTCAGAGTGTCGTCCTGAGGATTGAATATTTTCCTGAGGGTGTTCATGAAAATTGGGATCTTCTGACCTTCCAGGCCTGTAGCCCTTGGGAGCCGTACGTTCTCTCTCTGGCAGCTTCACAACTTCTGGCAGCTCACTTCAGACAATGTAACACACGGAGAAAGCAATTAAGGTCCACACGTATCTTCCAGCCCAGCTTTAGCTCGGTGAAGAGGCCGCCCGCATCTGCAGCGACTGCAGCTGCAGGTGTGACCGTCGTTACATGTCACTGCACGGTCGAGACAAGAACAAAGAACCAGAACACTTCAGTCAACAAACGTTCTATCTGGCCGCGCGAAAAGCTCAGCTTAGCTGATACCATTTTCCTTCTGTCATGGCTCTCACGGGTCTACAGTCTTGAACGAGGAGGATGAATCAATGAAGTCTCTTGTTTTGCTGGATGGGATTCGGAAGGCTTTTCCAATGCTGGTTGTACGAACTGCTGTTCGAAAGCGGTGCTGGCGCCGTGCCTCTGCCGACCAGACAATGACAGCTTTCACACTTTACACGTCGTCTGTTAAAGGAGGCTGGCTTGAGCAGCCCTAGCATTCGGACAAGATCTGAGAAATTGCTGTCGGCAGGAGCTATCCGACTACCAACAAACAGCCTCCCAACAAAACCACCATCACATTGAGCGTGCAAACCGGAACCAATAACTGATTGCAAGTGTGCTGGCACACTTGGCACACTTGCTCGGGTGTCGGGATAATAAAGCGATTGCTACCACTTGCCCCACTTGCAACACACTTGACCCACTTGACACACTTGCTCTTGCGACACACCTGACCCGCTTGCGACGCACTTGACCCACTTGCGATGCACTTGACGCACTGGCGACGCACTTGACCCACTTGCGACACACTTGACCCACTTGCGACACACTTGACCCACTTGCGACGTACTTGCCACACTCGATCCACTCCCTTCCCAGCTGTCGTAGTCGTCCTAGGTCAAGCGAGGCAAGTGTGGTGCAAGTGGGCCAAGTGTGTCGAGTGTGCTGTGAGTGGGCCAAGTGTGTCGAGTGTGCTGTGAGTGGGCCAAGTGGGGCAAGTGTGCTGCAAGTGGGCCAAGTGTGTCGAGTGTGTTGCGAGTGGGCCAAGTGGGGCAAGTGTGCTGTATAAGCCTGAATCCACTTCCCCAAAGTCTCCCTCAAAATGAATACAGTTTGAGGGAGACTTTGCGTGAGGCGGTAAGCCAGAAAACGCTGTCCGAAGCGGGTCACCCTCGTCAAACGGATCGCCAGCAGACAGGAGGCTATAGAAGGCTTGAAAATCGCAGCAGTCTCCCTCACACAGAAGACAGTTTGAGGGAGACTTTTCTGGTGGGATGATTGGGTTGCCGCTTGCAGCCCACTTGACACACTTGCAGCACACTTGGCCCACTTGCGGCACACTTGCCCTACCTGGCCCACTTGCAGCCCACTTGGTCCACTTGACCCAGCACACTTGCCCCACTTGCACCCCACTTGACCCACTTGACCTACTCAGGGACGTGGACCAAGTGTGTCAAGTGTGCTGTAAAAGCAAGTGTGCCAAGTGTGCCAGCACACTTGCAATCGGTTAATTCATCCGGAAACGCAAGTGTGCCAAGTGTGCCAGCACACTTGCAATCGGTTGATGGTTCCCGCCTGCGCTCGCAATGCACCATCAGCCCTGGCGACAAAATCCTTTAGACATTGCAGTAGCGCAACATGCAGGTGATCGCTGCGACGAATGCGGCCATCAAACCGACAAACACCCGCTCCTCTGGATGCGCAGTTTAAGCTCACTTGCATTGCAGCCATTTGATTGCGTGATAAAAAATACCCACCAGCGGACAGCACTACTACCGACGGAGAGAAAGGATCAGCGAGAAGTTCAGAAACCTCCATTCCGGTTTGTGAAACCACTGAGCTCCAAGCTGGAAACCAAGTAGACCGAAACCGGGAATCTTTTGCGACTAAGCGTAGCGCCGTCTTGTAAGCCAGTTTGTTTTGTGACTTGGCCTTTCATCAGAGATCTGGCTCACCCGAGTTTTCTGAGGCTTCCAGTTCTGATCTGACAAGGCTTCAGCCTCAAGGTAGTCCTGAAACGTCTTGAAGTTCGTGAACTGCAAAGAAGAAAACCCAACAACATGAAAATAATCCTTCATGACTTGGTCACTTGTAGAAAGAAGCATATCCCAAAACGAGAAGGTGCTCAGCAAGCACAGGGCAAAGACACAACCCACATCTAGAATTCTACAACAGATAGGGCGTGGCAATGTCTTAGTCTTAGGGTCTTAGTGGGGGCAGGGCTCTCCAGTGCGCACTCCTTTGTATCTCCAGTGCGCACTCCAAAAAAGCTCTCCGCTGCGCACTCCTTTTCTCTCCAGTGCGCACTCCTCACATTTAGGGTTT